GATAGGGGATTAAAAAGAGGCCGATATTCGATAAATAGTAGTAGATTAATACGAAGTAGTAGATTGCGAGATCAATTCAAAGTTTTACCTGAGTATACTGGTATTTCAATAGTACAATGGCATTTTAATGCACCAAATATTTTGCGACATGTGTGAAATTTATCACATTTTTGGCCGTGCGCTTTTAGGGTTTTGTGGTTCATTGTTGTCAACCAGAGTCGATTAATATATCAACGCCCTGGAAATCGCAATAAATTTCAGTCCCATACCATCAGTCCTTGTCGTTTTTGAATAATTAGGTAGAAATTAGGTGGGATCACGTTACGTTTTACGTTTTTCTATTATTTTTGCTCAGCTTTCTTGCTACTTTCATTTATGTCTTGCCGAGTTCGGTTCAACATTTAGGGTACTTAACGAATTTTTAGTTTCTATATGCAAAGCCTTATGACTGTCCGTGTTGCAGACCGCTGTAATCATACAAGACAGCCACTCCATCACTCCCCCCCCTCAGGCGATTTCCACATTTCGTAAGTCGAGATACGTCCTGCCTTCTCCTGAGCCGTTGTGCTTCTTTTCACCCGTAAGACAGCTGCGTCACACACACGACGCCGGCCTCAAGGTCTCCTTTGCGCGGCCTTTGCCACGAACGTGTGACGGCAGCGAATCAATGTGGATACTCGCTCTTTAGCCTACACACCCGAACGTCCAGTACCACGAAAAACATCATAAGGAGGGGTGCGGGGAGAGCGAGCTGGGAAGACAATAACACCCTACGTTGATCTCCGCTGGCAGAGTGGGTAGTGCACTCAGGAACGCGACCTTTGCCGTGAACGTGTGGCCACCGCTAATCGACATTTCTGCCCGTTCGTCGACAGTAAAGGACGACCTTCGAAACAGCTATGCACATTGTGCCCATGATTCTATAGAGAATTTAGCTATCAGGACGTCATTTATCGAAGTAAAACTGTTTGAATATGCCATTGCAGCACGTCAATTAGATGTATTTTGCTATCGCGGTAGCATCAGCGTGTCAGGGCCCTCTCGCTCGTATACGACCCCTTCATATTTTACTAGTCAGTGATTGTTATTACTAAAGTCCCGCTCCTTCCGAGGATTTGGGACTGGGCATTTTGCTTCGAAATGCCTGACGTTTATTTAATTTCATCTTTAGCGAGCACGGACAGAGTTCCGAATGACATCCTTGGGAAAAAGCTGTTTATTCGACCTTACTGATGTATCCTAAGGATTTTTACGATTTTTACCGCCACTGTTGTTTAGACATGAAAACGATGTCTAGTAGCTTCTCCTGGAACAATCTTAATTTTGTTATTTATTAGTAGTAGAGTTCGGAGTCTGAGATGAAGGCAAAAGTGTTGATTTAATTTGCGTTTTCAGTCCGTGTTTCATGATTCGTTCGTAGCATCGATGCTGCATTTTCCCTGAACAGTATCGGCAGTGTGGGACATTTTCTAGTATTTGTTAAATGGCTCTTAGCTGAACTCGCTCGCATTACCAGAAGGCCCTTTATAGTTTTCGTGCATTAAAATTAACAGTTGTACCGTCGATTTCGGCGGGGTCCACCTTGTGCCCCACAGCACGGTGGGCGTAGGGAGGATGAATTGCACAATATCTACCGCACTCTCCTCTATCACTCCTCTGAGCCCGATGTTAAGACGCAGTTAAGAAGACCGGAGACGGGATCGGGCGCAAGTGGTTGGCGTGGAGTATGCCGGCGTCTCGTCGGCATTTGTTATGCTTGCATATTCTTAATAACACCTACCGAGCCCTGATCTAGCTCCGTGCTGGTCCAGCGTATCCACTGCATGACTCGTTTTATGGGGTAAACCTGTCAAACTATTGAACACATTAAGGGCTTTATCGAATTCGTTTTTTTCCTAAATTCTTGATTCGGCACCTAGCCAAATGTCCTGTTCGTAGAGCAACTATGCCGTAGCATGACGGATCATACTGCAAATGTTTCTGTTTGTAAAGAACCTGCGGCAGTGGCCTTGCATTTTCAGAGCAACTCGGGACTGATTTTTCAGCGTAAATTTATTTAAAAACGTCTATTTCGCCTCATCAAGTTAATCATTCTCATCTGACAAAAAACGAATTTTGTGCCACATGAAGACGAACAACTTTTAAACTGCGGCTACAGTATTTAGAAAAACGACCTGAAGCTGCAAAGTTTACGTGGGTCGCACCAACACACATCCAAAATAAGACGGCCTTTGTCCTTTAACAAGTTTCGTAATTAAGTACTTATGACTCCTAATTTATTTTAATTCAAGAGGTTCACATTTTTCATAAATCGTAAAATGTATTCTATCTAAAATGTTAACATATAGTTTTTCATAGTTCTATCATTTGTTGTACATTTTATTTACGCATCTTTTCTATTATCATTTATACAACCCAGGTCGTTATCCTCCTCTACAGCCCCAGCTTGTCTGGGTCCATCGCATTTACGCGATGATTAAATCTTCCCTGTTCGCGGCCCGATCTGTAGCCCTATGTCCCATTCAAGCTTGGTTTTCTCTCCGCCCATACACCCGTGAACAGCGTGCACTGAAAACTACACAGAAACAACAACAACGTTTAAAAATTATCAGAGAACGACAGTCCGCGATTCCAATAGTCATACAGGGCCAGTTCTCCGGTACTTCTTCTTCTTCAACAGATGCTTCCTATGTCACGCCTGTTGCCGCCGATTTTGAAAATGTACCCTCAAATGTACCACCACCAGAGGCGTCTCAAGATGACACGTTGCTTGACCACAAAGAACTACAGCGCCTCTATAGTCTCTCTGACGCTGACCGAGTAAATGCCCACTGTGCCGGTTGTGGCGCCCAATTACACTGTGCTCAGCCCGGGGCTCCGGGTTACCTCTCAGGGCCTGAAATCCAGGCCTTGAAGAATGCACATTTTGGCGACAGGCCTGGAAGATCTTTCAAATCGAAGCTCACTAAGCTGTGTGTTCGTTGTCAGCTCACTCGTCAACACGATATGACATTTCAGGTACTCTTAGCATCTCAATTTACATCCACCCACTTTCTCGTAGGAGTCCATGTCAGGAGAGAAGTACGATGAGCTCATAATCACGGAACTAATGAGTCAGAAGAAGGCTGTAGTTCTAATTGTTGCTGATATGCTCAATCTGCCGCACTGCATTGTACCCCTAAAGCTGGATCAACACGAATCTTTAAGGTAAGGCCCGAGTCCTTGTTTTTTTTATTCTGCCCCTCTTTTCCCTGTAGATATATACTGGTAGGCAGCAAGGTGGATCAGCTGCCAATCGATGGCCCGAAATTCTATTCGAGGTGGCAGAAAGCTCTCTTAAATGCGTTCATTGAACGCACAAGTTTGAATGAGGAACACGTTGTCCATGTATCCCTTGTCAGCGCACTGACGGGCTATGGAATGAACAGACTTCTTGACTTTTTGCTATCTTCTAAATTTTCTGCCATGCGTAAGTCACTAGGAAGTCGTTGTATTTTATTGTAGTGGTATACCGGCAGTAATTTGTCCAGTATTGTAGTGACTGTGTACTTTTCCACCTCAGAAACATTGAACATTTTTTCATTAAGTTTGCAACCCATCAGTTGTCCGTCTCACCGTAAGAACCAATTACGGTATTTGCCTGGAAAGTACTGTTCTTTGCGCCGCCAAATTGATTCAAGAAAATCAAAACCATAAACGCCATAACTAGTCGTTGATATTAAGGCAAGGTTTTGCCTAATCATACTCATAACTGCGGTTTCCCGATTTGTATTCCGCAAAGATGCCCTAACCGCCTCCTATCAACCCAATATTCCGTCTTCAAGACCTCTGTTGTGATCTTGGGCATACGCAAGCTCTCTTGTTGGGGCTGCTTCGTAGTCTAACAACGCGAAACCAAGGGAATGCAGTTAGTATTTTGTCGCTCAAGGAGACGGTGAAAAATCCGACTGAAAATCTGGTTTGAAAAGTTGAGTGTGGTGTCCAAAAGCAGTCAGTGATCGTCATTCATTAACGTCTCTGTCCATTATCTAGGTCCTCTCAACAGAGCACTTTGTAGTTGCTTTTTGTGTAATGGAAAGGTAGCAACTCGGGTTTGGGGATCTGACAGTTAGTATTAAAGGACATCTTCGATAAAGCCAGAGCGGAACCTAAGTAATGTTTTATTGGGTTTACAGAGTATCACACTGACAACATGGGTACTAGCTAAAAGTCTGGACGCGTATTTCACTGTCGCCAGAGTCATATTACAGTAATTTCTTTACATCATTTCTGATTATTGCCTTTTGTATTTTAAAAAGATGAAGATTTGCCAGCCTTTATTCGTGAACAGTGTTTTCAAAGG